GCAGGGTGAGGCTGGGGTGCCTGCAGGGTGAGCCGGGGTGCGGTGAGCCGCGTGCAGGGGGAGGCTGGGGGGCAGGGTGAGCTGGGGTGCCGGGGTGAGGCTGGGGTGCAGGGTGAGCTGGGTGCAGGGTGAGCGGGGTGCAGGGTGAGGCTGGGGTGCAGGGTGAGCTCGGTGCAGGGTGAGCCGGGTGCAGGGTGAGGCTGGAGTGCAGGGTGAGCTGGGGTGCCAGGGTGAGGCTGGGGTGCAGGGTGAGCCGGGTGCAGCGTGAGCCGGGGTGCAGGGTGAGGCTGGAGTGCAGGGTGAGCCGGGGTGCAGGGTGAGGCTAGGATACAGGGTGAGGCTGGAGTGCAGGTTGAGCCGGGTGCAGGGTGAGCCGGGGTGCAGGGTGAGGCTGGAGTGCAGGGTGAGCCGGGTGCAGCGTGAGCCGGGGTGCAGGGTGAGGCTGGAGTGCAGGGTGAGGCTGGGGTGCAGGGTGAGGCTGGGGTGCAAGGTGAGGCTGGGGTGCAGCGTGAGGCTAGGATACAGGGTGAGGCTGGAGTGCAGGGTGAGCCGGGGTGCAGGGTGAGCCGGGGTGCAGGGTGAGGCTGGAGTGCAGGGTGAGCTGGGGTGCAGGGTGAGGCTGGAGTGCAGGGTGAGGCTGGAGTGCAGGGTGAGGCTGGAGTGCAAGGTGAGCTGGGTGCAGGGTGAGCTGGGGTGCAGGGTGAGGCTGGAGTGCAGGGTGAGCTGGGTGTAGGGTGAGCCGGGGTGCAGCGTGAGGCTAGGATACAGGGTGAGCTGGGGTGCAAGGTGAGTTGAGGTATGGAGTGAGGTTGGGGTGCAGGGTGAGGCTGGGGTGCAAGGTGAGGTGGGGTGCAGGGTGAGGTGGGGTGCAGGGTGAGCCGGGGTGCAGTGTGAGGCTAGGATACAGGGCGAGCTGGGGTGCAGGGTGAGGCTGGGTGCAGGGCAAGCTGGGGTGCAGGGTGAGTTGGGGTGTGGAGTGAGGTCGGGGTGCAGGGTGAGGCTGGGGTGCAGGGTGAGTTGGGGTGCAGAGTGAGGTCAGGGTGCAGTGTGAGGCTGGGGTGCAGGGTGAGTTGGGGTGCAGGGTGAGGTCGGGGTGCAGGGTGAGGTTGGGGTGCAGGGTGAGGCCGAGCAGGGAAGGGCTGGTGTACAATGTGAAAGGGAGGCTGGAGCTGCAGGGAGTGTTTCCTGGGACCCCCTGGCCTCCTTCCAGGGGCACAGCCAGCAGAGGGCCCACCATTCCATCCCTGGCCTGTGGGGCAGCTGCTCCCGTTTACTCCTGAGGTGACTTGGAGAAGCCCACTCATCAGGGCTCCCTCTACTTCCACTCTCCCTTCCTGGGGACCCCACAAGGGAACCCTCACCCCAATACACTCTGCTCTTGTGGAGGCTCCCAGGGGCCTAAGGGAGAGGCAGGCTCAGAGGGGGTCCAGTGGCTGCTAGACCTCTCCACCGCCCCAGGGGTGCTGGAGAAGCCGCTGGAGAAGAAATCGGGGAGAAACTACGGCCCACCTGGCACCAAGAAGCTGATCTACTTCATCGATGACATGAACATGCCCGAAGTGGACAAGTACGGCACGGTGGCCCCACACACGCTCATCCGCCAGCACATGGACCACGGGCACTGGTAACCAGCTGAGTGGTCCTGCGAGGTGGTCAGTGCAGGGACGGAGCCTAAGAGGCGTGGTCTAAGAGGAGAGTGGTTCATGCAGGATGGGCCAACTGGGATGTGGGGTGTGGTGGGGCCTCATGGGGTGTGGTCTGTGTTGGGCGTGATCTATGGGATGGGGTCTACATGCCCACTTGTCCCCTTTCCCCAAACACAAACGCCCCGAACATCTCCTGTGCTCGTGGCAGCTCCCAACTCCCACCGGGGCTGAGGCGTACTTGCAGAGTAAAGGGGGCATTTCTCTTTCCTCCTTTGTCTGTTTGCATATTTTCCAAATTTTTAACACAGATTGCATTGAGTAAAGGCAGTCCCTGGGTGATGCAAACAGCTAAGCGCTTGACTGAGAGCCAAAAGGCTGGGAGTTTGAATCCACCCAGAGGCGCCTCAGAAGGCCTGGCGGCTCTTCTGCAAGGTCACAGGTTCAAGCCCCAACAACCCTGAGGGGCAGCTTTGCTCACACGTGCGGTCCCCGTGAGCCAGAATCTGCTGGACAACAACTAGTTAAGCTCACTTACCGCGGTCAAGTCAGAGTCCACTCACAGCTGACCCTCTGCCAGGTTTTGGAGGCTAGAAATCCCACAGAGCAGATTGTCCTTCTTTCTCCTGCGAAGCCGCTAATGGGTTCGAACCACCAGAGAGGCACCACCTATGCATTAGAAGCTCGGCTCCCCGCAGACTCAGCCACCAGGGCTCCCTTGCACGTTACACGAGGAAAATGCTTCTAGCTGCTCTGTGCTCACTCTGGCCAGGTACGGCACGGTGGCCCCTCACACGCTCCTCAGGCAACACGTGGACCACAGGCACTGGTAACCAGGCTGCAGGGCCCTGGGCAATGCCAGTGGACGTGAGGTGGTGCTGACCTCCGTGCCTGGGGGAGCTCTCCAGGAGGACACTGACAGAGCCCATCTCTTGGACTATGTGAGGACACACCAGGTGCACACTGTTGGAAGCTCATAAGCTGGACTGCATGGTGGCACTCCCTGGGGGACCTGATAGAAATCCATCCACTGGACTGCATGGTGGAACTCCCTGGGGGACCTGATAGAAATCTATCCACTGGACTGCATGGTGGCACTCCCTGGGGGACCTGATAGAAATCTATCCACTGGACTGCATGGTGGCACTCCCTGGGGGACCTGATAGAAATCCATCCACTGGACTGCGTGGTGGCACTCCCTGGGGGACCTGATAGAAATCCATCCACTGGACTGCATGGTGACACTCCCTGGGGGACCTGATAGAAATCCATCCACTGGACTGCATGGTGGCATTCCCTGGGGGACCTGATAGAAATCCATCCACTGGACTGCATGGTGGCACTCTCTGGGGGGACCTGATAGAAGTGAGTCATCTGGGTGCTGTGGTGACACTGGTGGAAGGCCATCAGTTGGACTGGTTGGGCACGCTCTCCAGGAGGACTCTGCAACAAGTCCATCAGCTGGACTGCATGGTGGCACACTCCAAGAGGACACCGAAGGGGAAGTGTGTCAGTGAGGCTGCCCCGTGAATGAGGGTTTTGTGGTGTGGGCAGGACTGAAGAATTGCGACCAAGAGAGAAGGTCTAGGGAAGAAACCGCTCAGAAGAGCTTGACCACAGACAAGACACAAAGTCCTTGGATTGAAGGCACCTGGGGATAATCTCCAGGGCATGAAAAATACAGGACGTGGATGTTCACCTTTGAAAGGCCGAGTACAGTATTAAAGTGACATCTCCTTTTCTGAGGACACGCTAACAGGGTAGGACAAGACGATCTAGGCTCTTTTTATCATGAATCCATTGAGCTGTGATTCTTCTAATTTTTTTTTTAAATAAACCAGCACAAACTGGGCTTGTTTTCTCAAATCTGTGGAGTCACACTCTCCATGATCTGTAGTCAGTGGCCCATTGTGACCTGGTCCAGATACATGGGAAACCTGCAACACCTCTCATCCCTCTCTCTGAGGATGTCAGAAAGAGCACGGGCAGGATGGTGCCGAATCTGGACCTGACCGGCGAAGGACAGTGGTGATGTAGGAAGAAGCGTCGATGGCACCAATTGTGTTGTAGCACAGAGCCACTTGTGTGGGTGCCCGCAAGACCACAACAGCCATGGTTTCCAGAGATGACGATGGCTATGACCATTAATGTTTCCCTAGCAGTTTGTTCAAGGTGTAACACACGCAGCAGAGTGACAGCCTAATAGAAGCGGCTTCTTCTGTAACTTGAGTTGCAATGTTCAAGCTTTTGATCAGACATCATCTTAGGGAAAACTCTGCAAGATCCTTTGTGGAATTGCCCAGGTGAGACACACATTGTTTCCAAGGAATGCATCCACTGGATTTTCCCGTGTATTTCCCAGTGATTTCTATGTTGGATTTAAGGAAATAACTGCCTTTATGTGTTGCGTTCTGGGCTTCTCCAATCTTGAAGAGAAAAGCATGGACAGTCTCTCTGTCTCTGTCTCTCTCTCTGTCTCTCTCTCTCTCTCTGTTTCTGTCTCTCTCTCTCTCTCTCTCTCTGTCTCTCTCTCTCTCACACACACACACACACAGCCTTGGCTACTCAGTGGAGGATGACCACGGGTCAGAACTGCTCTGCAGTGGTGGGCTGGGCTGGGTTTTATGCGCACAGAGCTGTGTGTCTACAACCTTCATGGAGTGCTAAGTGATTTAGCTGGTTGTTCGGGGTTGGGCTTTTTGTTGTTTGTTTACTTTAATTCAGTCGATCGTCATAATGACCCATTACACAGAGAAGAACATTGAGACACGGAGAAGTCAACTGGCCAAGAATCCCAATACAGATGAAAGGACAAGTGCTCTGGGCCGCTCTTCCACTCTCCTTTCAGATCCCCCTTGAGAGCACACGATGTAGTTGTTGGCTGTTTCTCTCAGAGTCGAGATTTATTGCGTTTTTACCATGAGCAGAGGATTCAGGGGGGTGGGCAGAGGCTGGGATGGCCCCTCCTGGCCTGTGGCATGCAGCCTCAGTCCTTGTCCCCCTCACCCCCCCGCAGGTATGACAGGCAGAAGCTGACGTTGAAGGACATTCATAACTGTCAGTACGTGGCCTGCATGAATCCCACCGCGGGATCCTTCACCATTGACTCCAGGCTCCAGGTGAGCGGGCTGAGACTCAGCGAAGGAGGAGGCGGAGTTGGGTTTGGAACGTGGGCGCTGCAGGGGTGACACTGCAAACAGCCCAGCAACCACTCACACTGGTCATTAAACTCTGGGGGCTGAGGGTGGCGAGAGACCAGCAAGCCCTCCCTGCAACTCCATGGGGCTGCCAAAGTTGCAAACAAAATCAGGGTTGCCCTGTTAAAATTGCTTCAGAGAAGCCACAAATCATTTTTAGCGTACTTTTTGTTTTGTATTGTTTTACTATCATGTGTCCGGGCTGCTCCTTGGAGGCAAGGATTCTGAGGCTTCGTCTAACATATTTTGGACATGTTGTAAGGAAGGACCGGTCCTTGGAGAGGGACATCATGCTTGGGATGGTGGAGGGACTGCGCAGGAGGGGAAGACCCTCTGTGAGGTGGATTGATTCAGTGACTGGGGTAATCATGATGGGTGTATCAGAGACAGTGAGGTTGGCACAGGATAGAGCAGGGTTTAGGGCTGTTGTACATAGTGTCGCTATGAGTTGCAAGCGACTTGACGGCACATAACAACAACATACGTATCCACAAAATAACATGCACATATGTGTGACACACCCAGGAGACTAATGCTTGTGAGGGTTGTGGGTTTGACAAAAGCATACACCATAATGTAATTTGCATAAAAATACTACATGTCCCAGGCAACATTTGGGACCTTCTTGTACCAGGAAGCCTAGTGGCATAGTGCACAATGCATTGAGGTGTTACCTGAAAGGTAAAAGCTGTCTGGGAAAAGCCATCATGTTGAGAAAACAGAGGGTCCGCAAGAGAGGAGAGCCCTCGATGAGACGGGCTGGCAGCACCTGGCACAGTGGGCGGGAGTGTGGAGCGGATCACGAGGAGGACACAGATAGAGCAGGGTTTCCATCTGATGCTTGTAAGGCCACTCTGAGTCATTGATTCAACAGCATCTAAAATCAATTTGAAATATTGGCCAATTTTGATCCACTCTGTAGTAGGAAGCTAGGCAGTCTCCTCCTGTGATGACTTACAGCTTCAGAAATGCAGAGGGTCGCTGAGTGGCAATGGGTTTTTACCCTAAAGTGGCATCTCTGTTACATAAAAGCCAGATCTATTGCCAGCGACTCTACAGAGGACAGAGTGACCCCCACAGGCTTTCCAAGGTTGTGAATGGTTGGGGAAGATGGACTCGTCTTTTTCCTTCACAGCAGTTGGTGGTTTTGAACCACCAACCTTTCAGTTAGAAACTCAGCACTTAGCCAACTGCACCACCAAACTAAAACACAAATTGAATGGGGCAAACTCTCTCATGTCTGCAGCCTTACCAGGGTAAGACCTCAGTGTAAACTAGGCAGGTGTATCTGTGTTTGCCTTGACCACAGTTTCTCTCGAAAGCCACTGCACACAGCATCTGTGTTTATTGTCATTTTACTGTCCATTCTAAGCCCAAAAGACAGGAGGCGGTGAGGGTGGGTGGTGGGCTCCCCCAAGGAGGGGCTGGACACCAGGCTGCCCGGGAGCCCTGGCACAGGTCTGTGGTTGTTTCGGAGCAGCGCCACTTCTGTGTGTTTGCTGTGAGCTTCCCAGGCCAGGAGGCCCTCATGACCATCTACAGCACCATCCTGGCCCAGCACCTGTCCTACCGCTCGGCGCCCATGGCGGTGCAGAAGATGAGCAGCCACCTGGTGGCCTCCGCCCTGGGTAAGCTGGCCGGCTCCCCCCACCCCCACCCCCGGCCTGTCAATAAAACCATCATCTGCCTTGGGGGACTGATGACTTCTCCGTACTTTCCCCTGGTAAATATTTTATTTAGACCTTTGAATCAATGCTTTTTAAATGATGCTGTGTTTCAACAGGAGATGTGAAATCCAATTGCGTCAGGGGGAGGGAGAGGATGGGAACGTCAGTGCACAGAGTGATTTACCCGCCAGCCAAGTAGCACGCTTCCTCCCCCGCTACTCTGCACATTTCTGACTCAGATTGTCACTGCTTTTTTTTGTAGTCCATTTGTTTGACAAAACTTTCCTTTAAGCGCCATACTTCCTGAGGCCATTAAGAGCATAGAAGAATCGATGTGTCTTTTCCTATAACAGCCTTGCATCAGAAAGTCGCAGCAACATTTCTTCCCACGGCCATTAAGTTTCATTACGTCTTCAACCTCAGGGACCTCTCCAACATTTTCCAGGTACTGGCCTTTAGCTGTGCAGCCTTAGAGCCAAGTCCCCGGTCTGTCAGCGCTAACTTCCCCCACCACGTTCAGGAGAGGACTGAGTGGTGGTGTGTGGGTGATGCTGGGATGGGGGGGGTCGTGTGATGGTGTGAAGGTGGTGACAATAACCGTGCTGGTGGCAATGATGTCATTGTCACCTAGTCTCTTATGACTCATGGCGACCCTACAAACAACAGACAGAAAGCTTGCCCTATCCTTACAGTCTGCCATGCTCAACCATGATGGTGGTGACGTCAGTGATGATGAGGGTGATGACAACAGTGAGTGGTGATGGTGACCACAGTGGTAATGATGAGAATCACAAGATGATGGTGAAGATGATATTGATGAGGAGTGATGGTGGGCGTGATGGTGATGACCGTGGTGACGATGATGGAGGTGATGATGATGATGATACAGCAATGGTGATGGTGATGGTAATGGGGAGGAAGAAGAGGATGGTGATGATCATGGAGAAGATGATGAAGGTGGTGATGGAGATGATGGTAGTGGTGGTGATGATGGTGACAATGGTGACGATGATGGTCATGGTGGCAGTGGTGATGATGATGGTAGTGGTGCGATGTTGGTAGTGGTGGTGATGGTGACGATGTGATGATGACAATGGTGATGGAGATGATGTTGATGGTGATGTGATGATGACA